AAAATCCATAATTATATTTATAATTTTTTCGTTAATTAAATTATATAAAAAAATAATAAAACCAAATTCAACACAATTATCAAAACCCCCAACAATATATTTATGAAATAATTTTAAGAGTAATATAATATAAGAAATAGTAGATAAACATAAATAAAACTAAAATAAGAATTCTAACCTTAATTAGTTTTTGATCAATATCCTGCCAAAAATAAGAAAAAAAATTGCATTGGTACACATTATGACTTTATTAAAAGAAAAGAAAATAAAAGTATAATCAAATTAAAAAAAAAATTACTTCATAATTATTGTATTAAAATCTGCACACAAAAAAAAAAAGAAGAAGGAACTATTTGTATATCAAATAATAAAAATTCTTTTTCACCAAAAAAATAATAAAAATTCTTAATTTAAACTAAATAGAAACAGTTGGATGATGCATAAAAAAGTAAAAATGCATTGACTGAGAAAGATGAAGAGAAAGAAGATGATGGACTGTCAACAAAATAAGATAATGGAATAAGTATAAATGAAAACTAAAATAAAACTAGAGATATTTACAAAAATACAAATGGGAGAGTATAAAAGATGAAAGAAAAAGGAAAAATAAAAGGAGAAAAAGTTGAGAGAAAAACTGGGACGTTTTGCTTGTGAGAAAGAAGGAGAAAGGAGGAGATAACCAAAGATGGACAAAAAGAAGACAATGGGATGTTCTGATTTTGAAACCCTTATATAATAAAAGTATATTCAACAAAAATTTTGTCGATTATATTGAAATAAGACTGTTAAATATATTTCAAATTAAATTAGCCGAGAGATTTAATTTTTTTGGGGTGAATGAGAGGGTTTCAAGTATAATCGATAGCCATTGTGGCTGTCGATTATACTTGCTATAATCAATAGAAACGCTATCGATTATAGCCAGTATAATCAACAACTTTTTTCTATCGATTATATTTTGATTTTTTTAATCTTTTTTTTTTAAATTTTTGTATTTTTAATTTTTATATTTAAATTGATATACTATTTTTTTAACAAATGATCAGTTTGATTTATCTAATTCTCTCTTTTTTGTTTTCTTATTTTTTTGGTTTTTTTTTTCCTTTGGTTTCTTTTTATTGATTTTCTTGTAAAATTTTTTGTTTTAAGGCTAGTAAGAATTAATTTTTTTGAGATTATAATTGATTATTGAAATTATATTGAAATAAGGTTATCAAATACATTTCAAAAAATTAGCCGGGAGATTTAATTTTTTTGGATGAATGGTTTCTAGCATATATAATAAATATTATTGAAATTAATATTTTATACATTTTATGTATAAATATTATCAAATGTAAGATTATTTTTAGGTTTAAGTACCATTTTGATCCCTCAACTTTTTACTTTGGTATCAAAATTGTCCTTCACCTTTAAAAAGTACTAAAATTATCTTTAAACTTTTATTTTTGGTACCATAATGGTCATTCCGTCAGTTAAATGATAGGTGGCATGTTAAAATGCCAACAAATCAATTCTTTTTTTTACTTTATCAATGACATGGAAAAAAAAAACATAGTTAACTATTTTTTTTTATGAATTGACATTTTTATTTAATTTAACAATAATAACATTTTTTTTTGCATCCACGTCAGAAAAAAAAATTTCTTCTTCCCCTTTCACTCTCTCTCCTTCACCTTTCCTTTCCTTTTCTTCTGCAAACCCAGATCTGGGTCTTCCTCTCTCAAACCCAGATCTTGTAAGGATAGGTCCGAGGTGCCAAGCCTCGGACTGCTATAGTAATTCCTTTATGACCGAAGTGAGGAATAAGTCCAAAGCTTCCCGCTCAATTAGCTGCATGACAATGACAATAGGCACGCCCGCATCTGATTCCTTATGATGAGTGGCACAGCAAGTATGGTGGACGCTCGTGCATCTAAATACTTCTCAAATTCCCGGTCCCGAAATAATCGTCTGGATGGACACGTCAAGCTCCGATTATCTTGCTTGGCATGACACGGGGGTTCCTCATTGGATCCTATAAATACCCCCCCGGGCCACATCAAAAAGGTAATTGAAACCAACCCTAAGCTCTTTTTATCTCCGCCTTAAAGGTAGCCCCGATTATTGCTGACTTAAGCATCGGAGTGTCTACCCCGAGTTCCACCTCGGGGTTTTGCAGGTCACTTCGGAGTACAAGCGCGGACTGAAGAAGGACTTCTGGTTTGGTGCAATTACATTGGCGCCGTCTGTGGGAATCGAACTAAAAGCTTTCTAGTTGCTCTTCCATCATGGTTCACACTCGATCAGTCCGAGCTGGTAATTCATCTCTGCCTCATGGGCAAGGTCAACCACACAACAACCTTCCACCTCCGATCGCACCTCAAATCCTACCTCAGTTTCCACCTCAGGTCCCAACCATATTCCCTCCTGCTGATCATGCAGAAGGAGGAGATGAAAACCAACCTCATGCCTCAGCTCACAATTCTACTTCCACT